TGGATGTGATATAACTATCTTATTGCTAACGTCGCCTTCTTTGATAACTTTTTGGAAAATAAACATGTTTGTTGTCCTTCACTGTATTGTATTGAACAAAATGGTTATGTGGCCCGCGCTCGTCATTCTCTCAGTTATCGCTGTGAAAAAAGTTTGGTGACTCCTGATCTAGATTATCTTCTTCACAACTACACAACTATAGATGCCTTAGGCTTCTGTCCATTTGACTGGCATTATTTGACAATGCCACTTTAGAATCTGGATTTGTAACACTAACTATGACAGCGATGGTGGGTGGGATCAATAGCAGATCCCCTCTTGGCTTCCATTGAAGCAGTTCTCGGGATCGCATAATTGGAAACTGCTTGCCTAATGATAGCTATGATTCCCCATGCTTCACCTTATCTGGTCTGGTGATTCTAGCGACATGCTCTTAAGATGGAGGTCCCTTCGTTCGTGGCAAAGGTATCTGGCCCCATTGGTGGTGGTGGAGATGCCACAAGCATCAATATTGTGGTAGTCGGCTATCCCCTGGTGATGTTTGCCACTGGAACCACTGCATTGTAATCATGCTTTGCCAACTTGGAAAATGCGTTCACACCATAACAATCCAGGTGGTGCTTAGCTTCAATGGCAATCAATTTAACTCCTTCGATTCAGGCCAAAAGCTAGATGTTTTCCAATTCTTTTGGCTTAGTTCGAGCATTCTTGCCTTCAGCGAAAGGTGGGATTTGATGAAGATAATTTTCTTTCTCACAGAAGATACAGTCCATACTTCGCCCCGGCCACTTATTTGCCTCCTTTCGACAAGTTCTTCACTTCCACTAGGATCACATTCATTTTATCGCTTCTTCTTGGCTCTTTCCAGCTTTGAATTCTTGATTTTTGGATGACATGACTTGTACCAAAAGCCACGATGGGCCAACAAATTTGCTTTACTCTCGTTTTTTCTATGATCGGCAAGAAATCGAGGTTTAGGCAGTCTGAAAAATTACTCAGAAATGGCTGACAGGTCCTGGATCTGTACTCACTTGATTTGTTGTCCAATGGGCAATTTAATGATTCGGGGATTTCTCTCTGATAAATAAGGCAAAGCTCAGATTATATCTATTCTGTCACATTACAATTGTAGTCAGAAAAAAGTTATATTCAAAGCTGTTTGTAACTCGGTGTAAGAGTGGATTTTTTATACATGTACCTTTGCAACTGATTAGCTAAGTTGAAGAGAGGAACTAAAGCAATAAGCATAAACATACCAGCAAAGTGTCAAAGGGATAAGGCATATACATCTGTATTTAGATAGCTGCAAACATAATGAGTGGTACAGAAATTAGTAAAGAAACAATTTGGCATGAACCCACATAAAAAAGCCACACCAAACTTGCTTAAAAGTAAATCACAAAAAAATGATCGTTATTTGATTGACAGAGAAATGAACAGACAGACTGATGGACGAACATACAAACAAACAATGGACATGTGACAGACACATGAACTTGATTAACTGTAATAGTCCTTGTTAAGGTTTTTTAAATCCACAAAAAAAGCACGAAGATGAATTGGTAGACGGATGTACGGGTAGAGGGACGAATCTGACCTAGACGGAAACGACGGACATTCAAATGAACTTTTTTCAGCTTTATCAAAACTTTATGAAAAACCATACTTTATTCAGACCAGCATCTTGCATTCTGTACTTGAGTTCACAGTGAATTAATATACTATCAATGCTCCTAGCCATTGTTCGCGTCAGCTCCCCTTCTAAGATTATTTATTATGATCTAATAAAGTCTCAAAACAACTGAGTGCTTTTATCTCTCTGCTAGTGGTAATATTGAAATCTTGCTCTAAGCCGCCTGATTAAAATAATATTAATTAAGCCATAGATAAATCTATATTAAGTTAAACCTTGCTACCATTATTTCGAAAACAGTAAGTTGAATCTGAAATTAATAATGATAGGGCGTATGATAACAAGCTAAAATATCCAATATTAGAAATAAAATAGTTATTAGAGTAAATAAAAATAGTGCCTAACTCCTGAACAGTATATCATTAATATATATTTATTATTTATTTCAAAATTCCGTTTGAAAATATTCATATATAACTTACTCTAGCGTTTTATTTGCGCAAGCTCACATCGAACATTAGGCTGTTGCTCACTAAGGTTTAACTGTTTAAGTAAATTTCACGATGTTTCAGTGTGTTACACTAATAAAACTAAACGTATGGTAGTTCCGTAAATTTTTTAACCGTCAGATATTTGATACTTATTATTTTAGGCTTTTTCAAGCTTAATACAATGTCAATCATCAATGGCATTATATTTATAGTATTTATATTATAAAATTAACATTATTGCATAACCAGTGTAAATTATCAATATCAGGCCAGACTATGATGTATAAATTTTATTTTGAACTAATTTAAGAAGTATTATTCGTGTACTGTAATAATATTGGATGTTAAGTAATGAATTCATCTTGTATTATTGTAAGTTTCAGTGTTCTCATTATTTGGCTGTCATCTAATGTCCACAAAGTACTGGTAAGTTACTAGACTTTGAACTTGCGTTCTTAAATTTGAGAAAGAGTACAAGAAACAACACTTGTTACGACGAGAATAGACTTAAAGTTAAAATGAAGTACCCGTACATAAATTATATTCTTAATAATGAGTTATGATTGCCGATGGTTTTCACGTTTCAATGTCGGGAATAGCATATCCCCATTGATAATATTAATATGATATCTTAATTAATGCTCACGAGGTTTTTAATTAATAACAACAGTATAAGTATAAACCGTAGATTTGATCAGAAGTTGATGCTATAACTAAGAGATTTTGTTATTAGAGTGTAGAAACTAAGAAAGTTGTTTTGAGTAAAAAAAAAATTTCCAGGTGTCAGCTATGGCATGAAATTATTACATTGTTATTCATGTCTTACATGTTCCAAAATATTGCACTTCAAAATATTTTAAATGTAATAACTTAATTATTCTAGGTTATCAATTGTCTTCATGGTATTTCAGTTTTTTGTCTGTGCAATGAGTTTAAGTGTACATAACACATTACAGGTACAAATATCATGACTTTAGATTATCTAAGTGCAGTCACTTGTAGAAGTTCATGAAATCTAGATTTTGTTGATCTTAAGAAGTTAGGCCTGGCATGGCAAAGTGGTTAGGGCGCCTGACTCACAATTTGAGGTTGTGGGTTCGAATCCCCGTCCCACCAAACATGCTTGCCCTTTTCAGCCATGGGGTGTTATAATGTGACTATTCATGGGTAAAAGAGTAGCCAAAGAGTTGGCAGTTGGTGGTGATGACTAGCTGCCTTCCCTCTAGTCTTTCACTGCTAAATTAGGGATGGCTAATGCAGATAGCCTTCATGTAACTTTGCACAAAATTCAAAACAAACAAACTTAGAAGTTATATGTAGGTATTTCATTTGTTGTTGTTTTTATATATATGGTGCTCATCATAGTTTATGTTAATGATCCTGTAACATTATTCTGAGGTCAAAATTACCTCCTGCTGTAGCTTCATAAAGTCAAAATGATTCCCACTGAATAGAAAATTTGCATCTCTAAACAGGAAGTTCAATTTCAAAAATAATTTACTCTCTGAATTGTGTTCCAATATATAGCTAGGGTGACTTAACACGTGAAGAGTATAATAAGAAGTTAATAACTATGGGAAAACTTCATGGGCTGAGTGGTCTTAAAATAAGGATTAAAGGATCGTTTAGTCATTTAAGGCTGTCTTTTTGTGCACTCACTCTTGAGAAAAGTAGAAATTTAAATATTCCCTTTATTTTACAAGAAATTGTTGTCTTCACTCTTCAACTATTGTATAGTGCCAACACAAAGAAATCAGGAGCCCCCTCTATCTTGCGAGTGTACTGGATAATCTTGTAAACATCAATAAGATCACCTCTTACCTTTCTTTTGTAAGCAGAAAATAATAAGTTCAGAGGTCTTAAATGATACTTATAAGATAGTTTTTTCCATCGTAGGCATCATATATACATATATAATTTAAGGACAACAAAGGAACTGTTGATCCATCTAAGCTGTCCCATCCACTGAACTAAACATTAAAATGAAAATTTAACACCGAGAGCCAGCCCTTATTCAAATATTTATCAAAACTTCCCTTAAAATACCCTGTTAAAAAAATAAAGCTGAGTTGAAGATGACTCCTACACTGCCAAAATTAATAATTTTGTCTCCTAGTCCTACCATTCTCACCATTAAGTACAAAAAAAAAATTATATATCAACACTATCAATTCCCTTAACATTCTTAAACACATCAATTCGATCCACTCTACCTCTTCTTTCAAGAGAAAACAATTTCGGAGATCTTAACCTGCCTTCACATGACAACCTTTCCACCCTAATAACCTTTCTCTGAACTCTTTCCAACAATTCAATGTCCTTCCTAAGGTTAGGAGCCCAACACTGAACACAGTATTCCAAATATGGCCTAACCAATGACCTATATATCTATACAATAAAATTATAACTTCTTTAGATTTTTATTCACAGTTTCTGTAGATATACCCTAAAATTCTATTTGTCCTGCCACTAGCAACAGCACATTACTTGGATAGCTTAAGAAACTGATCAAGTAGAACACCAAGACCCTTTTCTTCCATAACATTGTTAAGGTTATTTCCATCAAAATTGTACTCATTATTCAAATTGCGATATCCCACATGCATTACCTTACATATATTGTAATTGAAAGTCTTCTATCATATATTTGCCCAACTAACCAAATACTTCAAATCCTTTTTGTAAAGCAGCATCCTCCTCCTAACAGCCACAAGATTATCAGCAAGTTTAAATAATTTATTGACCATTCCTTCATTATGTCATTTGATGTATATCAAAAAGAGCAAAAGTTCTTACAATGAGCCCTGAGGTGCCCCACTTGTGACATTAATCCAGTTTTACTGAACTCCATTTATTACAACCCTCTGTTTGCTTCCATCCAGCCAGTTTTATATGGAATGAGACAATCTATCCCCCACTCCAAATCCATACTTGTACCCTTATCTACATAAACAGTAACCTCTCCAAAAAAGTGTCAAAAGATTTATAAGCAAAATTGTCCCATACTGAAACCATGCAGACTATCCAACAACATTATAAACTTTGTTCAATGACTGTGAAAAGCAACTTTTATCAGACTTTCCAAAACGTTTTATACCACTGACCTAAGACTAATAGGCCTATAATTACTGGGACTCTTTTTATCACCTCAAAAAAAAAAAAAGAGGAGTAATATTAGCCAAGTTCTAAATATTCATTGGGTAATAATGGTTGGAGACGGCTTGAATGGGTAATGAAGAAAAACTTTAATATAAATTTAACATAACAGCAAATGTACAACATTTCGACAAGGTTTTGTCATCATCAGGTACTATTCCAAATGAGGCCTAACTACTGATTTGTATAGAGATTATTTTCTTTTTTAGCTTGTAATCATTATGTCTACAAATGAACCATAAAGTTTTGTAAGCTTTACTACTAACAACAAAGGACTTATCTGATACCATGTCAAGATCTTTTAGTCACCCTATATCATAACAAAACCTACAGACAACAAAATAAAATTCTACCTTTTACCATAACACTTGTGTATATGTGATTATTTTCATTTAAAGTAATGGTGAGCAGATCAATACCAAAGTAATTAGTACTTTTGATATCATTTTAATATATTTGATATTGATTACTTATTAAAAGTACCTGTTACTTTCATTACTTTATATGAAAAAAAGAAATAACCCAATAACGTTGATAAAAATGTAGATTGAACTGGACCTCCCTTGAACTTAGACTTCAAGATTAAACAATTTTCAGAATACTAAGTTTATTTATTATACCTGCTATTGTGCGGCTATATAATGTGAAGAACTGAATAGTGGCTGATGACACTTCTTCACTTCACCTATCCACTGTATAGATTTTTCTCATAAGTATGTTTGATGCACGAGTAGGTTTCTATCATTAGTAGTGTTTATGCGTTTTAAAAATTACCATGTTTTCTGTGTTAACCTGGTAGTTTGTTGTATAATTGCATCAAAAGTTACTTATTGCTATCGTAAATAATGTGGCATTGATTCACTGAAATTTATCACACCATTATGGAATATACTTTTAAACATGCCATAAAGTATTATACTGTATAAATAGAAAAGTTCACAGTGTGTGACACTCATCTTTAACTCTCTGCAATGTTGTATATTTTTCTTGTATAACTTACTGGGAGTACTGGCTAACCATTTAGAACAATTAGTTTTATAGTAATCAATGTTGATATCCACAAGTATCACTTGATATTATATTGAATGACTAATTATTGTTAATGCCCATCACTAATTTGAATACCAGAATATTACAAGAATTATCATCTGTACTTTATTTAGTTACTAATGGTGTTTGTGTATATATATATGTCTATATAATTGTTGTTTTTACAGGAGTAACAGCTTATGGACTTCCTTTTATATTGTCCAAGGGTTAACAAAATTAAATATTTCAGATTCATTAACATGACAAATTTTATTATACTCTTATCTTGGTCCTTTTAATTTTTCTACTGATTTTAAGCAATTTCATTCTCTTTTGTGTGTGTAACATTTACTGTTTTGTAATTTGTACAAGTGAAGTTCGTAACTTAAATCTTTAAATACCTGTCTTCCATGAGAATGGTCTCATTAAGATAATTTTTAATATAATAAAATATACTAAAACAGTGTTACAAAAACACACTAAAAAGTATTACAGAGAATATCTTCTGATATCTATAAGTATATGTGCTTTTTATCAACTTGTTTAACTAGAAAAAACTTCTGAATATACTTTATAGTAAGCTTAAATGTCATTGAAAAACAATATTATAGCTTGAATAATTAATTATTTAACTGATAATTGTAAGATTTGAATACAAGGTGAATATACATGTCAATGCTTTTTTTTTATTAGGGTCAATATAGTGATATTCGATGTAAATGTGTATGTCCAAGCACGGAAGTTGTAAATGGAAGCAAGACTGAACGAAACTTGTATATAGGAAATGTACCACCTGATGAATGGTAGGCCAGATTTTCTGGGTTTTTAATGTTTTTTAAGAGGACTTTGGCTGTCAGCATTTCAAACTTGTAATGGTCTGTAAATAGTAAATTAGTTTTAGGTAAAAAAATTAACTTTGCTAAAAGTAATTATAAAATGTTTGTAATAAATTTTTAAAGAATAATGGCATGCACAGTATGTATGCCTTATAAACAGTGTAGTTTGAAAAGCTAATGGCCATAGCCAAAAAAAGAATATATAAGAGATGTATGTAATGTACAAATACTTTCCTATTTCATAGTATGCATATAGTTACAGTGCAAACTATATATATGTATGTATTGTAATGTAGGCAGATTTTGTTAAACAAGACCGATGTCTGTA